GTTGCTGCAGGGTGATTGCGGAAAGATCCTGAAACAGCTTCCCCTCTCTTCCATCTAGGAAGACGGTTCCCTGTTGCCGGGCCTTCAGCAGGATCTCCTCCTTCAGGGGAAGCTCTGGAGGCAGCATATGATGTCTATGGGTGCTTCATCCTGTGCTGCATGGGGTCTCAGGGCCCTGTGTGCTCTCACCAGCTCAATAGGCGATTCAGCAGGCCGGTCCAGCACGTCATTAAAGATGGTCATGAGGACGGTGGGAATGGCCTCTGGCATATATGTCTTCAGCACTCCACGGACCCTAATGTTGGATCTTCTCCCACAGTTGTCCAAATCCTCAAGGTGGCGTCTCATCTCAATCAGATTGCGCACCGTGCAGTCCTGTTGAGAGTGTATGGCCTTGATTTCTTCTCCCTGCCTGCGGCCTGAGCGTTCCACGCCATGGATGCAATGGCCCATGTCTTGCAGGTCTTTCCGCAGCTCCAACACTGCCGAGCATAGGGCTTCTTTGATGTCGGAGGCCACTGAGTGAAGCTTCGAGCGTGTCGGCAAGTGTTGGAGGTAGGATGCGGGATGGGTATCATGCGGGTCCGGTCCTGCACCGGGAGCGGGTGTGTGGAGAGGGTGCGTGCTGCAAGGCCCCGGCGCCATTTTGAGTGACATCGCCTCGGGAACTGAAGGCCGCTGTGTGCGGAAAATGTCCGGGATATTCCTACTTAGCTCCGTGGTAAAGGTAGCGGGCGTCGCTGCGGGTGTCTGCTGTTGCCCAATTTTCACCATCGTGGGTGCAGAGTTGCTAATGGAGCGTCGTTTGGGTCTCGGGTAGCCGGAGCTCCTTTAGTGTGCGGCCATTCTCCTCGCGGTGCAAGCCACGCCCCCCGTATGCATATATGTTTGAGCAGGTGTGTACGTGTGTATTAGTCCATGTGTGATTTTGCTCTTAGGCTTACCTGTACCCCTGTATATTATGGTCTCTGAGGAACTCGTCCAGGAGTTTCTTGAATGATTCCACACTATTAGCTGAGATCACTTCCTGCGGTAGCGAGTTCCAGACCTTAACCGCTCTGACTGTGAAGAACCCCTTGCACCCTGTGTGTTGAAATTTTTTTTCCACATATTTTTGGTTGCGCCCTTTGGTCTTTGTTACAGAGCTAACCGTAAACATTTTGTTAATAATGTTGCTGTCACCCTTAAATAGTTTATACAAGAAGATTATGTCCCCCCTTAATCTCCTAACCTCCAAAGAGAACATATTTAATTTTAACAACCTTGTTTCATAGTTCAGGTCCTCGAACCCCTTAATAAGTTTGGTTGCTCTCCCCTGGACTTTTTCCAGCTCAAGGACATCCTTTCTGAGTATTGGTGACCAAAACTGGACCGCATACTCCAGATGTGGCTGAACCAGTGATCTATAAAGTGGCAAAATTATAGACTTGTTCCTGCAATACATTCCCTTCTTAATGCAAGACAGGACTCTGCTTGCTTTGTTTACAGCAGTCTGGCACTGCGAGCTATTCTCCAGTCTGCGGTCTATAATGACCCCCAAATCCTTCTCCGTTTCCGACTTCCCTAGTGGCACACCCATAAGTGTATAGTCCATTTGCCTATTTTTAACTCCAAGGTGCATTACCTTACATTTATCGACATTGAACTTCATCTGCCATACAGTTGCCCACTCCCCGATTTTCTCCAGGTCCTCCTGTAATGTTATAATGTCTAAATCTGTGTCTACTACCCTCTCAATTTTAGTATCATCAGCAAACACTGAGACATGACTTCTCACTTTCTCCCCTATATCATTAATAAATAGGTTAAAAAGCATGGGACCCAGCACCGAACCCTGGGGTACGCCACTCATGATCTCAGCCCAGTCTGAAAAGGTGCCATTTACTGATACTCTTTGTGCACGTTCTCGTAGCCAGTTTTCTATCCACGTGCACACTAATTCATCTATGCCCATAGCCCTTAGCTTGTATAACAAGCGTTTATGTGGCACCGTATCGAATGCTTTGGCAAAGTCCAGATATACTACGTCCACCGGCCTCCCCCCATCCAGATCTCTACTTACCTCTTCGTAAAAGGTCAGCAGGTTGGTCTGGCAAGAACGATCCTTCCTAAATCCGTGCTGCACATCACTTATTATACTATGATCCCGGACGAATTCCACTAAGTAGTCCTTAATAATTCCCTCTAACAGTTTACATACTATGCATGTTAGACTAACTGGTCTATAGTTCCCCGGTTGGCATTTTGACCCTTTTTTGAATATAGGTACCACATTAGCCCTTCGCCAGTCGCTTGGCACTCTACCAGCCATTACGGATTCCTTAAAAATGAGGAACAATGGTCTCGTTATCTCCTTGTTCAGTTCCTTGAGTACCTTGGGATGTAGATTATCAGGTCCTAATGCTTTATTTGCATTTAGTAGTTTAAGCCTATGTTGTATCCCAGTTTCAGTCAACCACTCAGGTGTATTTCTTGTTAAATTTTGTGTTTTATCATGTACATTAAACCCGTCTGTTTCCTTGGTGAATACCGACGAGAAGAAAGTATTTAGCGCCTCGGCCCTCTCCCTGTCGTTTGTGAGTAACGACCCATTTATGTCCCCTATTGGGCCTATCTGTTCCTTTTTCCCCTTCTTACTGTTTATGTACTGATAAAAAAAAATGTGGGGTTCTTTTTACTAACTTCGGCGATATAGTTCTCACAATCAATTTTAGCTGCCAGGACTACCAGTTTACATCTTTTGTTACATTCTTTGTAGTTTTGGAATGCCAATACTGTCCCCTCCGTTTTATACTTACTAAATGCTACTTTTTTTCCTTAATGTGTTGTTTTACCGTTGTATTTAGCCATATTGGCTTTGTTTTTGATCTTTTACTTTTGTTACCCAGCGGTATACACCTGGTAATAGCATTTTTTAATTTGTTCTTGAAACAGTCCCACTTTTGGTCAAAGTTTAGTATTTCGGTTTCGTTTCGGTTTTAAAATTTCCATTTCGGTGCACCTCTATTTACTGGTTAAACATTTGTTTTCCTTTTGCTCCCCACTACTAATTTTAATTGTACCTGTTACGGTTCGTCCATTCCTACTTGGATCATCTTGGGCAATTAGATTTACTTTATTGACTACATTTAGTATGCTCTCTATATTGGCTTAATTGTGGCCATAGCTTTCCGTTTAGGCTTTTCTTCTGTTTTTCATATCTCTATAGGTTGAACATGATGGACTTGTGTCTTTTATCAACAAGATGAGATTGTGTTAAATAAAGAGATGTCAAATCTCAAAACTGTGTTTGCCCGTGTAACGGTGAAAATGACAGTACCCAAAATTATCAATAAGCAATGCTTTAAATTACTTAAAAGGTCGCCTACACCTAATATGTGTTGTGCAATTATTGTTTGCATACACGTGCATGCGCTACACATGCGTTTGCATTTGTGTGTTGCTGAAAGGGTTGTCTATATATTATTATTATTATTATTTTGCTATCACTTTATTGCTATCACAAGGGGGCTAACAAACCTCCTGTGTGGATAGCATTAAACTGGCCATACACCTACAGATTATCTGCAGATTTTCTATGGTCAAATGGAAAATTGCAACAGATTCCTCCATCTATGCTAAACTGTGTGGATGGAGGAATCTCCCACTGGGCCAAGGTTCAGTATCTTGCTAGTCGGCCCCGCTGGCTGTCAAAATACCTGAACAATCTGATTGGATGCAGGCATTGTTCAGGTATTTTGAGAGCCAGCGGGGATCTGTTGCACTTTTTCCATCAGACCATAGAACATCTGCAGATAATCTATAGGTGTATGACCAGCTTTAGGCAGGTGACAGGCAAACTTTAAAGAGACATCAGGGGTCTGTTAGACCCCTAATGTTTTCCATGCACTCTATTTCTGCTAATCAAGCACAGACTGTGCTTGATTCACTGTTTACCTGACGTTTCAACTGTGATTTTCACAGCTCCAAACCGGGAAATGCTCAGAGTGCTTCCAGGGTCACACTGTGTAGAGGAGATGGAGAAACAGAGGTTTCTTGATATCTTCCCGGTCCCAATTCTGACAGTGTCTGTTGTGTCCCGGGATCCTGGGAGGAGTGGGAGAGTCTGGGAACCGACAGAGTGAGGGAAAGGGCCTGGTGGGGAAGGGTGGCACCTCGTGAGTTATATGAATGTGACCAGGTGGCTCCAGAATTACTTTTCCTAGTAGGGATGCACCAATACTAGTATCGGTATCAGTGCCAATGCTAGGCATTTTCACCAGTACTCGTGAAAATGCTCCGATACTAAGCGCCTATACAAGCGCTTTACATTTTTAAACACAAGTGGCTGCTGAAAGTTCCTGCTCTTGCTGGGGACCTCACAGCAGCATTGTGGGGACCTTGTGGCACCTGTTTACAGCGCCGTCCAGCCGAACATCTCCACCTTCCCGTCACCCACACCCTCCCGCACAGCCGTGGTAAGACCCACACCCACCGTACAGCACCGATGAGACTTCATACACAGCCCTGGTAATATCCCACACACAGCCCTGGTGAGACCCCTCATGCAGCCCTGATGAGATTCACACAGCTCTGGTTAGGCCATGCACAGCACTGGTAAGACCTCGCACAGCACTGGTAAGACCACACACAGCCCTGATGAGACCCTGCACAGCCTCCTGAGACCTTACATAGCCCTAGTCAGACCCCGCACAGACTCCGGAGATGCCGCAAAGCCCTGGTAAGCAAAAGAGAATATGTACCTTTATATTATTTTGCATTGCTGTATAATGTATTGATGGGATTTGTAGTCCTCTATAGCGGATGGTATTCTGCATTGTTGTATATTGTATTGCTAGGATTTGTAGTCCTCTATAGCTGGTGGTATTCTGCATTGCTATATAATTTATTGCTGGAATTTGTAGTCCCTCTACAGCTTGCAGTCAGTGGCAGAACTACGAGGGTCGCAGTAGTTGCAGCTGTGTCCGGGCCCTGGCGATTTCCCACTGTGCTAAAATCATTAGTTTGTATTGTTTTAGAAAAATTGTCACATGACACCAAAAAAAAGGTATTGGAAATTGGTATTGGCGAGTACTTGAGAAAAATGATTGGTAGTTGTACACGGTCTTGTCACTCACATTGGACTTTTTGTAATTTTCTAAAGCAGAAATCCACCTGCCTACTTTTAGATATTGGTCCAATGGCCCTCATAATCCCAAGGAAGCAAAATATCTAAGTAAGTTCTTACATTCTTTTGATTCATTGTATTTCATTTACCTTTTGTGTTCTCTGTGAATCCTAACTTCTCAAAGAGGGGAAATCGGGGGCGATCTGCTATATCCTCAGATCTATTGATTAAGGCTTCCTTCATTGCTTCAAACCCATTAATTACCACTATCTTCTGCCAGAAGAACTGCACACTAAAGATGTCTCCAAACTTTTGTTTTGCCTGTTGAAAACATGTTGCATTAATTGATTGCAATAATAATTAATATTAAATGCTAAGACTAGTCTATTTAAAGTTACTTATAAAAACAATAGCAATTACCAATATTCATAGAATACATTCACAGATATTGAAATTCCTGAAAATAATCTTTTATACCCTATATTTCCACTATGGCCTTTTGACCACTTTCACACAGTGTTCCAATCATATCTGTCTGTCAGTTTTAAAGGAGGACCTGATCGGAGGCTCAATGTCAGTCTAGGGGGATGCAGATCTGTTTACACTGATTGCCTCTGAGTCCGACCAGGTCTGCAAGAAAAAAGGAACAGAGTTCTGTTATGGTGGACCTCACCAGGATGGATCTGAGGTAATAGGATGTAAACGGACACATGTCCACTTACATCCGACTCCATATAGAACTATCATGGGTCCGGTTAGTTCAGTTTTTCCCTCCATTGCAAGATGGAGGGAAACACTGAACAGACACAGATCCATTCCATACTGCTCTGATCAGCAGGGGATCTGTGTAAGACCGCCCCCTGCTTTGTTCGGGGTTCTTGTATGTGCATAGAGTGTCCAGCTTCCAGGGCTAATCTATATGTTCCGTGTCCCTTCTTGAAAGGACTCCTTTAGGTACAAGTGCCACAAAAGATCAGTTCTGTTTCCACAGCAGGTTATCCATCACCATGAATGCTGGTACAAACTTCTCTTTAGCAGTCAACTTATGAGTTTCCATGTCCACTAGCATCTACCTATTAACCAAGCAGAAAGACTGATCCATTTACTCTGTTTGCACAATAATTCCCAACCATAGTCCCCCCCCCCTCCCTCTCCTTCCCCAGAATCCAGATGCAATCTATCCTCAGTTTTCACAAATATACCCTCCAGGGTTCCATTATGTTTTTATGTTTTAAATATTGCCACGCTAGATCTTGAAATGTATTCCCAATTTTGCGGCCAAATTGTGATAACACATACTTTATATTTGTTACATGTTCCCAATAATGTAGCGTCACTTTAAAAAAAAATATTAAAGGTTGCAGCTTACCTTTTTTTTCAGGACTGAAAAATCCTGCTTAGTTCTAATTTTCTGGGGGGTTGGAGTTTTATTTCTCATTATCACTTCTAAACTAGATGAGCAGGACTACTTGTCCTAACAAAGGGTTAAAGAGCTGAAGACAAGACATGTGCGACTAGTTTTGTTCCCAATTTGAAATTCAGATGAAATTTGGGAAATTCGGACATTCAGATGCATCCGAATTTCCAAATGAAAAAATAACAAATCCGAACGTATCCAAATTTTTTATAACGAAAATTTTAGATGCATCTGAATTTCTTTCCGAATGTCATTCGGAATAAACTTGAATGTTAAATGCTAAAGTAAACAAAACAAAAAAGCGTGGAGTTCCCTCCCCAATTGATCCTTAAGGTCTGGTAGGAGTGATAGGGGGGACCCCCAATGCAAGAAAAAAAACGTGTTCGGTTCCCCTTTAAAAGTCATACCAGACCCTTTAGGTCTGGTAAAACTTTTGGGGAGGGGGCAACCCAACACCAAAAAAAAGCATTAGGTCCCCCCTAGAATTTCTACCAGACCCTTAATCTGAGCAGCAGCCTGGCAGAGCAGGAAAGGGGGGGAGGAGTGTGCACCCCCCACCTGCACCATACCAGGCCACATGCCCTCCACATGGGGAGGGTGCTTTGCCAGGGGGAAACTGATCGATGAGGACAAGGGCCTCTTTCAACAACCCTGGTTTTGGGGGTCTGCGGGCAGGGGACTTATCTGAATCTGGGTACCTCCTATCATAAAGGGGGCACCCAGATCCTTCCCCCCTTGTGAATGAGTAAGAAGTAGTTGTGTAGTTGTTACTCATTCACTAAATAGTAAAGAAAATAGTTAATAAACACACAACACTGTGAAAAAGTCCTTTATTTAAAAAAAAACCACAAGACAGTTTTTGACAAGCCTATTATTTAAAAGAAAACACCTAAAAAAAGTGTCCGACGATGAAATCCATCGTCAATCACATTGACCAGCAATGTAGATCCATGCCAATCACAATGAACAACAGCCGTCGACTTGCCAAAAGAAAAAAACCTGACCCCTGCTGACCGGTCCAATCTCGTCGAACTCACGCCGTAAAATGATAGGTCTGACCAGAATGTCAACAAAGGGGCGTGGTGAGTTGTGACGTCACGGGACTTGTTTCGCCCAATTGGGACCAAAATTAACGAAAATTTCAGATTCGTCCGAATCACAAACCGAATTGACTTTCGGACCGAAATCCTGAAACACAAAACAATGAAAAATCCCCCAAAATTTTTTGCCAGCTTACATGTCTACTGAAGACACTGAGGAGACGCTGAGTCAGTCCTTAGTCTTTCTATTAGGACAGCTAGAGTTTGCTGTTACTGAAATTGACAGAGGACCATGCAAAGGACGGCTAAAAAGAGATATAATATATTTTTATTTTTATTATTGTTAGGTATGCTGTGTGAATAGGAACACATAACAAACCTATAGTGGGGTTTTCTCAATTTTAACTTTTAACAGTTCAATATTGGTGTTCTGTAAGAGACTTACCTGCAGACTGATTCCTGCTCAAAAACATGCATGCACACGGACATGCAATCCTTTGCTAAAACTTCCAGGTAAACGCGCTTTAGCACATGGATGCGTGCGTATTAGAATGTTTATGTGCAATAGCACACACACGTGAGCCTATGGAAGAGCGCTCATTAGCGTGCACGCTTCTCAATATAAACTGACAGAGGCCATGATTAAGTTGCTAAGTGGTCATCAGCTAGTCCCTGTGTGCCCTGTACTCTGTTCCTGTATCCTGATTTCCTGTGCATGAACCTTGCTTGTGACCATTGACTCCACTCCCTCCTTCTGATTTGGTACCTCAACTCTCTGCTCACCTGTGTATGACCCTCGCTTATGATTCCTGACCCTGCTCCTGATCTGTGATTTGCACTTTAAGATTCAGCTTCCCGTGTAGAACTTCGGCTTAAACCCGACTACGCTCCTGGGCTGCCACTTGGTGAATTGCTCCACCAGTACCCTGATCAGCTACATCCAGCAAGTGCTTCACTGCTCTCCCCCCTGTTGCCTGATCTGGTTCCAAGATGTCCCGGTGTCATCCCTGTCCTGCAGATTTACCAGCTGGTTCAACACACTCAAGCATCTCTTCGAAAAACCAGCCAGCCACCAGTACCGGTGCCTGTGCTTCACTCCGTCCTTACATCCCCTATCACCACTCCCAGAGGTGCGGGACGAGAGGTGCACGAGCAGCCCTCTTCTCAGCTGAGTCTCCAGTCAGGTACGTGATGGTGGTTTTTCCAGTATATAATGCATCAATATATTACATATTCTGTGAAGCAATCCATTCATGATTTAATAAATGATTATTTACCACCTGGATGTTATTATAGGTTTGCCCCATATACATCCCCGCAAATTTTTTCCCATACACTTTTTATTAATTTTAAACCTTGATGACAAAGCAATAAAGAACAATAACAGGAAGGGAATCACAGCCTGGTTCCTGTCATCAGGGAAACACAGGGAACAAAGATATATTACAAAAACAGAATCAGTAAAAAAAAACCACAAGACCAGTAAAGAAAGACAAGCAGGTAATAACCATCAATGCCACCCAGTGTTGAAGAATAGTGATGGGCTGAACAGGCCCGAGTTCGGTTCAGATTCGAACTTTAGATTTTTTTTTTTTAAAGTGTGGGGTTCCCCCCAAAAGTCATACCAGAACTTTAAGGTCTGGTAGGAATATTGAGAAGGGACACCATGTAAAAAATACAAAAAAAAGTGTGGGGGGGGGTGCCCCCTTACAGTCATACCAGGTCCGTAAGGTCTGGTAGGAATTTTAAGGAGGAACCCCACCCCCAAAAATTTGTGAAAAAACGTGGGATCCCAATAAAATTCCATACCAGACCCTTGATCCGAGCATAGGCCTAGCAGGGCCGGAAAGGGGGGGGGGGCGGGGGCGCGCCCCAATGTGGGGGTGCGGGCAGGGGGCTTATTCACATCAGGGTACCCCTTTAATAAATAAGGGGTACTTGTACCCCTACCCATTCACTAAAGGGTTAAATAAAATTGTAAATAAAAAGTCTAGACGTTTGAAAAAATCCTTTATTTGGAAAAAAAACAAAAGACAAGTTTTTGACAAGTTTTTTTATTTTTTTAAAAAAAAACCAAAAACTGATCCACCGTTGTAATCCAGGGTCAACCACGATGTCCAGCGTTGTCCACGACAATGGCGACTCAGCGAAATAAAAAATAAAACTGACAAATAGAAATAATTTTTGAAAAACATGGCAAAAAGTGCAGGGGGGAGGGGAGGGGAGGACGGCCCGGCCGGCTGCAGATCGCCGAGATCACATGTAAATGAACAATCTGCTGACACACTACATTTAGTCTGCCTGTGCAAAGCAGGACTAAATGTAGAGAGGGCAACTTACCGCCCGGAACTTCCTCACAAGGACACCGCTGCCGCCCCTCTGCGCCCTGGCCTCGGTGGCCTTGTGGGGAATCCGGGCCTGGGCGGAGCTAGCAGTGACAGCTAGCTCAACCCAACTGTTTACAGTTGTAACAGGGTGAGCCATGATTGGGAGAGTCATCATGACTTTCCCCAATAATGGCTCTCACTGTTCTCTGTGCCGTAATTGGGCAAAGTCTTGCACCTGACATATGGTGAGGTGCAAGGCTTTAGCCAATCAGGGCTTACAAGGCACAGTGCCTTGTGCAGGATGTGTGGCTGGCGAATAGCCATCCAAACACCCTGACAGTTTGTGTGTTCACCGAACACACGAACAGCCGATCTTCGAGTCGAACTCACGTTCGGCTCTAACATTGAGCCCAACCCTATTGAAGAATTGTTGAGAACCAGTCAAAATACCAGTAGGGAGGGCAACATATCGAGACCAGGGGGGGAATAGGGGATCATACGGATATCATAGTGTCACTTTCATCTGTTAATTTAACCTGGTGATTCTGCCAGTTACACAGGAACTGTCCTAGGTTGGCATTGCTCATTCATAGTACTGTATCTATGAAGGAGCAGCATTGCCTCCCTAGGGCAGGACATGTGTTAGGGCTACAGAACACCTACCCCTTTCCTTACTTTTACAAGTGTTCTGTAGTTCATGGTGGTAACCTGAGCAGAAATAATTAGACTGCTTGAGATATATCAGCAGATAGCACAGAACACAGCATAGCACTGCATTACTGGCAGGATCTACAGGGTTTTTTTTTTTTTTTTTGTAAAGCGCTGCACAAAATTGTTGGCGACATATAAATCCTGTGTAAAATTAACAATAATAATTTTTGCACTTATCAAACAGATTTAACCTCTTGCCGTCCGCCCGTAGTAAAAAAACGGACGGACGGACGTATTCAATGGTATATTGAAGAGTTTCATACACTTTAAGCAAATTTCATGAAGCTAGTATATATAACCTACCTGGGTAAAAAAGACCGTAGGATGCCTAAAATCAACCTGTAGAATGTTACCAAGAAATGGCACTCCTCTAGGACCTGGAGGAAACCGTCGGCTCTTTTTCCTCTTCACAAAATCCAACAGGAGAAGACAAATCAGGAAGGTGAATGCCAGTACAAATGTATTAGAATACAAAAAGGAGATAAACTCTGGCTTTGACATATTTTCTATGAATTCCTAGATGATCCTCTAGCTGCAATTATTTGCTCCAGGATCTTGCGTTTGTTTTTATATGCACGATCCTAATGATTCTTCTGTCCAAAGTACCAGATAACTATTGCATTACACAATGCTGTAACACAACTCCATGTAACGCCTCTCATAGAGGTCATTTGAATTTAAAGTGGCAACTACCAGAGGGTCCAGCAGTCAATACGGTAAGAAAAGGTCCCTTGTGAAAGGCAATGCAAACTTTTTTAAATTACATTTATTTCATGTAATTTATTTAATGTAATGTAATAATTATAATTTAATTTAATAAACCAATGTTTATTACAAGGTTTATTAAATTACATTTGCACATACTGTACATGTGGCAGCACAGTGCAGCATCATGGCACGTCTGTAAATTGTGCTACCTAATCTAAAGGTGCCCATACACTTTACAACCCTCGCAAGACCTGTGTCTTGCGAGGGTTGTAAAGTACTTAAAAAAACGTACGATCTACCCATCTTGGACAGGCAGATCATACTTGCGATCATCGCAAGCGCGCCCCCCTGAGGGGCGGGCTTACGATGACTGCAAACGGACAGTGTGCGCGTGCGCACACCGGCCCGTTCGGCAGTTGTCGGACCAGAAGGCCACTAACTCACCGAGAATCGTACGATTCCCGGCGGGTTTTCTAGCATGCTGGTTCGACGGAAGACATGCGACCGTACAGTAGAAACGGTCGCACACCTTCCATACACTGCACGATTATAGTACGATCGCAGGATTTCCCACGATTCTCTTACGAGAATCGTGCAGTGTATGGGCACCTTAAAACTATCTGATTTCCCAGTTATGGGCTTACCTGGAAGCAGGATCCTTCTCCTTTACCACTTGCTGACCAGGTGTTTACACCCCCCTCCTGGCCAGGCCATTTTTCAGTATTTAGCTCTGCGGTACTTTGACTGTCATTTATTCCATCATGCAATGCCATATTGAAATGAATTTTATACAATTTTTTGGGGGCAGATAGAGCGTCCACAAGATGGAGGAAAAAACTGGATGGACACGGATGTCACAACAGTGTACACCCTGCATACTTTGGTGACGTTTTTTTGGTTGCATGTAGCACACATTAGGTGCAAGGCTAGTTAAGGCCACACTCAGACCTGTAACTTAAAGGATGTGTGTATTGTTTTATGTAGCTCTCCCCTGCTGTACTTTTTTTTGCAAAGATCCCCTCAGCGGTGCCTGTACATACAGCCTTCTATAAGCACCAAGGGCTTGCTGCCAGTTATTTAGCCTCATCTCTGAATTTTCCCTAGGCATTTCTAACATGCTAACCGTGATAGTCTGTTTGTGCAGTTTTAACTGTGACAGTTAGATACATCCTTAGGCCTTGTTCACACGAAGCGTGTTCCAGGAGCAGAGCAGTTACAGACCGGATCAAAACTGCATCCAATGTATTCCAATGGTATTTTGGGTCCTAGTTCACAACGCAGCGTTTAGTTCCAGAGCAGGTAAAAAAAACTGCAGCAAGCCCTATTTTACCTGCTCTGGAACGCATGCAAACGCATCAAAACCACATGCAAACGCCCTGGAACGCACTGAAAGCCCATTTTAAACAAAAAAACAAAAACGGCCCTGAATGCATCAAAAACGCGGCAAAAAATGCGGCAGAAACGCGGCATAACCCACTGCACTGCGTGTGCAGAAACTCATGCAGATCTGCTCTGCATTTGGTGTGAACAAGGCCTTAGACATCTGCTTAGTATTCTGACACTGCTTGCAATTACTTCTAACATTCACCTTCTTGAGAGTGTAAACCATAAAACACAATCTATGTACACATTTGCTAATAAATCACTTTGCATTACCGTATATACTCTAGTATAAGCCGTCCCGAATATAAGCCGAGGTACCTAATTTTACCACAAAAAACTGGGAAAAAATATTGACTCGAGTATAAGCCTAGGGTGGGAAATGAGGCAGCTACTGGTAAATGTACAAAATGAAGATAGATACCAATAAAAATCAGTTTTAGACAGTGTAAAAACTTTCTGTAAACATTCCTCTGCACATACCATTTAATTTAAGTAAAGAAACAATTTATTGTTCCACTTATGTGTCACAGGGCTAAAAAGTGAGGGGAAATCTGTCCATAAGGATTTCCAGTATGTGCAGCAATTTTGCAGCTATTATAGCTCTAAATCCTTTCCGGCCAACTACCTCCTTTACGCTCAGTTTTGCCTATGCAAAGGGTTCAGTATTAAGAGGTTGGAAGACAAGTTATACAGGACTAGACATGTGCATTCAGATTGGGACAAACCTGCAAATCAATGCACTTCAGTTGATTTGGTTTTATCATAAGCCCGTATATACGAAAACTATATTCGGCCATACATAAATTCATTTGCAGAATTGCATATCGGCCGCTGGTGCGCTCTGCATATGCCCACTGCCATCTTGGAGGTGGCGCGCATGATGCCGCGCGTGTGCGGGCGACGTCATACACATTTTGGCACCGCCATTTTGGTGTTTACCATATCATCATGTGGTGTCATGCGCTCCGCCTCCAAGTTGCGTCGCTGCGAGATCTGCAGTTTCATTGTGCGGTTGCCTGTGTCGAAACACATTTTTTTTGCCGTGCACAGGTCTATACAGGACTACCTTTTGAGTAGGTACTAATGAAGAAGCAGAAGAGCTGGTCCTGGTAATGTGAAAGAGACAGAAGTGGCTTTCTCTTTATAAGATACATTGTTTACAATAATATATTTTTTTACTTCTCATCAACAAAAAAAATAAGTAAAATGAGAATAAAAAAACAAAAAAAAACCCAAGCACAGAGGCTCATCTAAGGCTGCCAGTGGTTATCAGAAGCTCATGTCAGAGGGTAAAGGTATGTTTAATTTATTTCTAAATATGATGCAATATCTAGGTGAAAGTAATATTTAATTTAAAGTGAAATGCACAGTCTCAATTGGAGATAAAACAGTTTCCTTCTGTTATGGGTGAAACAACTACTGACTGAAATTCAGATGATGGGGTATCCTCCTCTAACGATCATGAGGAGCAACAAGTTGTGCTAACTGAATCATAAATCCTTGTCAATTGTTTAGCACCAGACATTTTGTGGAATACAAAAAAGCTGTTGCCTTTGATTTGTGAGAAGAGTAAAACAAGACTGCCACTGCCCCCACTGAGAGCTTGGTACAAGCTCTGGAGAGAGCACACTTCAACACTCCACCTGAGAAGAAGAAAAAAGGAACGGAGCTAGGGGTACACACTTACTGTTCCAGAGGGATGCATGATCAAAAATCCTGTTCTTTGTGATTTTTTAATTATTATAAAAATATGTGATTTTTAAAAGGACTTAAACATGCATTTGAAATAGTAGTCACATTAATTCAATGAAAAAAAACACACAAACATTATGATAAATAAAATATAACAAAGAAATATATATTAGGCCAGCTTCACAATTTTGCATTATGCTTAGAGTGCTTTTCTGCAAAGCATTGCAACACATGTTAGTGTATTGCAATGTCATTCATTTTGTATGCCATGCCAAAATGCTAAGGCAACATGCCCGAGTTAGGCCCGGTTCACACCTGGGCGTTTTGCAGCGTGTTCCTACGCTCTGCAAAACGCTCAAACACCGAAATCCCATTATTTCCTATGGGTATGGTTCACACCTGGGCGTATTACAGGCCGTATGAACACGCTACAAAACGTCCTACGCCCAAAGAAGTACAGGAGCTTCTTTGGGGCGTTTTTGTCGCGCTTTTCCATTGGGATACCAGCAAGTAGCCCTCGGAAACGCACGTTTGTCGCACGTTTTTTTTACCGCGAACCACGACACGAAACGCGCGACAAACGGGCATATTCAAAACGCCTAGCTGTGAACCCAGCCTTAGAGTTTTGCACTACACACAGTTTCGCACTACCATGCCTTGTGGTGAGGTGCGTTAATATGAAAGGGTCAGGTATGATTTGAGGTGCGTTGGCAGGTATACAGGCAGCTCATTCAAGATGTAATATGAATATTGCAAAAGTGTGAAACTGGCCTTAAAGTAAATGTATGTAAATAGTGACAAACCTATTAAACAAGGAATTATTTAAGTACTCAGCTTTAAAAAGACATAACTTTGACATCAATATCAACCAATTTTAATGTTTAAACAAGGGTTGCATTGATATGCATTAACCATTTTGTAAAGAATAGTCAAGTTTAAACTATGTCCTGCAATATGAGCCTTACTTAATGTAATTCCATAATGTAATGTGATATGGGGAGCTTCAAAGAGCCTTAGTCCAACCATGCTCATATAAATAATCAAATAACCTCTGACTATAGAAAATATTCTTGTGACAACAATCATTCCCAGACTAATAAAGTAAAACATCTCGTAGGAAAAGGACCTGCTGTAGAATTAGGGTTCATTCACACCATGTGCATTGGGGTAGCGTTGGACATATGTTGAGCAAAAATATATTGTTTTCAATAGACCCAGTTCTGCACTGGGCGAAAATAGGACATGCTGCAATTAAATGCAGAGCTATGTGTTGCAACGTGTTACAATGTACATCAAGGAAATAAAAAAATATTTTACCTCTTGCTGTAAAAAACAAAAATGTGCAGCAATGTGAAAAAAAGAGCATGTCAACACAAGTGGGTTTAACACACATCAACATCCTCTAAGCACAACACAAGTGGCGTGAATCCAGCCATTGCCTCTGTTGTCAGGAGAATCTCCCATTATTTCCCTTAAAATTAAGATCACCTGCTGGACTGAGTTAAGGAAAGAAAGCAGAAATATATGTCCCAGTTTACTGAGGATCCAGTGGCTTTTTCCTTTTCAGTTTATTGCCGATCCAGTGGTTATTTTTATTTTCATTAAAAAATGGCTGCCCTAACACAATGCACTTTAACATGTGCCAAAACTCACATTAACACACTGCAACAGAACGCTCAAGTGTAAATGGGCCCTTAGTAAATATATTAAAAACTCTTGATAGGTAAACTGTCAGATAAATCACATTAATAAGCTGTTAAATGGTCTCTTTTTATATACTAGTAAGTAAATGAAAGTGTGTCTAATGGTCAAAT